AGGGGGAGGGGTTGGGTTGGGGGCGAGGGGGGGGGGGGGTGTGTGTCTGCCTCCAGACAGTGATTGCTCTTTTTGTATTTGAGGAAAAAGAATTGGTGACTGCTGGGTGATGGTTCTGCTGCTACTGGGTTTGGCTGTGATTTAGGTACTTATATGGCACCATAGAGGTGTTTTTGACACTGGATAGGGTTGCTGGCTGTGAGGTGCAGAAAGCCAATGGTGTGGAGCTCAGGAAGTGATGAGGCATAGAAGAGGATTCTGTTCACAAATGTATTCGGCTTTTGAATACATTTCAGTGCTCTCTGGTCGCAGGACCTTTCCTCATGTTGGCCAAAATGAGAGATTATGGTTTTCTTGTAAATTTAGGCCTGTGTCATTCCCTCCTGTCCCATCAGAAGCCCTCTTTTCTGCCATCTGGAGCTCTTATCTACAATTTGGTCAGCTTGGGCAGACTAAATAGGCTGCAGTACAAAACTACAGAGGAACGGTGAGCAGGACTATGCGGTACAAAACAGTTGCTGCTATAGAAGAAGCAGAGATCATTGAAAAGAGGTTATCATTAACCTTGGGTTGCCATAAATGCAGTCAGAGCATCAGGACTCCTGTTTGAGGCTGTGGGTGGGCATGGGAGCAAAGAGAAGGGTAAGGTCCACATCTGCTGGTTGCCACAGAGACAGAGTCACTTTAGTAAGCTTTTCTTTTTTTTTTTTTTTTGAAAGCAGCAGGCCAATGGGGGAGAGTGCTTGTGGTGAATCCCAGGGAAACTAAGGTCCCCTGGCTCCTAGAGGCTTTGCTGCACACTAGTTTGACCCTGCTTGTCTTTTGCCCTGTCAGGGTTCTCCAACCTCTCACTTGGGGACCAGATGAGCCTCCTGCAGAGCGCCTGGATGGAAATCCTCATCCTGGGCATTGTGTACCGCTCCCTGCCATATGAGGACAAGCTTGTCTATGCTGAGGACTACATCATGGATGAAGAGCACTCTCGTCTGACGGGGCTGCTGGAGCTCTACCTGGCCATCCTACAACTGGTGCGCCGCTACAAGAAGCTCAAGGTGGAAAAGGAGGAGTTTGTCACGCTCAAAGCTCTGGCCCTTGCCAACTCAGGTACAGCCCTGGCCCAGCCAGCCCCACAGTCAAGGCCCATGCTGTTATCTGGCCTGGGAGGAGACTAGATCCCACTGCCTGAGGCTGTGCTCTGCCTGTGTCTGCAGCATCCTCAAAGCTCCTCTCTATCCACAGAGCAGGACCTAACCTGGACAGCAGGGAGAAATGAGACTTGCCGCTGCTAGGGCGCCAATTGTGCTCTGGCCCTGTACTGGGGAGGGGAGCCAGGCAGGGGTGGGCTGGCTGCTGGTTTCTGGCAGTAAAAGAAAGGCTGAGGAGCCCTTCTCCACTAGCAAACTGACTGCAGTGCTGTGAGTTCAGAAAAGGGGATGTGGGCCACCTCCACATCCACCATAGTATTGGTCAGTTACAGCAAACAGGGAAACCCTGGTCCCAATTTCAAATCCCATAAAAAGCTGTGGGACTGGGGCTGCCTGGTCCTGTGCTGGAGATGTTCCATGACCACAGACACCGAATCCCTCTTTAACTGGGAGACAGTGTGGATCTGGATGGTAGAGAGTAAGACATGCTGTCAGAAGCCTGATGTTGCCTGTTCCGTTTCTTCTTGTGAAGAGGATGAGAAAAGCCAGGGCCCTCAGCCCGGTGCCTTCCATCTCAGCCTGAGGAGGGCTGCAGCCCTCCGTCCGGTAGGCTGTGGGAGACACAAGAGGTGCTGTGTGCTGCACTGGTGTTGCACAAAAGCCAGACACATATTTGCTCACTAGTACCTTCCGACAGGGAAACTGCTAAAGCTACTGTGTGACGAGGGCTCCCTCTACATCCCTTGAGTCTCATTGTCTCACATCAGATCTCCTTGCTGAACTGCATTGTGCAGGTCACAGAATTCACCCTTGCAGCCCAGCAGTGAGTCCAATATCCGTGTTTGGCTAAAGCCGCCTTCCAGAAAGAAAGACACCCAGTGTGAAGCTGAAGGGATTAAAAGAGGAGGAATCTACATATTTTGTGGTAGTTGACTCCAATAATTAATAATTCTCTCTGTTTAAAAAAAAAAAAAAAGGCAGGCACCATACCTTTAACATCAGTTTGTTTGAGTTCAGCCTCCAGATGCTGGTCTTTGTTGAGCTGTGCCCTGTGATCCCAAGTCTTTTTACACCTGACATCTTGACACGATAAAGTTCCTGTTCCATAGTTGCATTCCTTGGCTATTACTTCAAGTGTAAGCAAGTGGTCCACAATGCTGTGAGGCTGCCCTATCCTCACCACTTTACACCCTTCTGTTCCTTTTTGCCATCCATACTTCTTAGCAGCAGCAATTCAAAAGGAAAAAAAAAGTTACTTACAGCTCATTAATAAAAAAAATGTTGAATAGCATCTGTTTTTTTACTGATCCCTGTGGATTTCCACTAGAAAACTCCTCCTTCAGGGATGATTCACCACTGATAGCTACTTTGAGATCTGTCATCTAGCCAGTTACTAATCAATTGAAAGTGTGCTTTATTGGTATTGCATAGTGCTAATTTTTTTAATGAGAATGTCCTGTGGTGCTAAGCCAAGTGCCTTATAAAAGCCTAAGTCTATTATATCTGTGCAGTTAACTTTATCAACCAAACTTGTAATCTCATCAGAGAGTGAAATCAGGTTTGTTTGACAAGCAAGCCCTCTATTCCAAAGTATCATGCTGACTGGCAGTAGTTGTAATACCATCTTATAAGTCTTAATTGAACATCGCTTTCTTTCTTTATTTTGCTCTGGTTCACATCAGGCTAGCATGGAAATTATCAGATAAGACCTAGGAAAATATCCGCATCATTAGAACTTCTCCAGTCATCTTGAATTTCTCAAAAATACCAAGACTTGTTAATCATTAATCTGCCCCAGGTGGGCCTCAGCCAGCAATTTTAGAACTCTTAAAGCCAAGTTACCCAGCTCTGCTGATTTCTGTAAAGTTTGTCCCTAACAGGTGTCTAACATCTTCTTGCATAAGCAATGGGCTAAGAAGTCTTCATCATCTTCATATAACACAGGTACACAATGCTTCTTTTTTCTAAACAGGACAGAAATACTGAGGACTTCTGTCTCCTCTGTGCTGCTATTAATAGTTTAATCATCTCCAGGTGAAAAGAGCCCCCTTACAAATGGTCATTTTTCTTCTATTTCTTAAATATTTATAAAACTTCTTTATTGTCCTTAGCCCTTCCAGCCATGGATTTTCCTCCAATGTCCTTCACTTCCCTTATCGATTTTCTACACTTCATAACTTCTGATTCATATAAATTGCTATCTAGCTCCCTTTTTCAATTTCTCATATATTGCTTTTTTAACTCTAATTGCTGCCTTCACTTTGCCACTGAACCAGGATGGGCAGATGGCCAAGGCTGGGCTCTCTCAATTGTGGGACAGTGGCTTTTGGCGATGTAATCAACTCTTGTTAAAGAACCTGCCTCCCGTCTACCAGGAAGGTCACAGGATTAAACAGGGAGAAAGGGCTCTTCAGAGAGGCTGAAGTGCTAAGGTAGTGGTTGTGACAGGGTGACAGGGTAAGTACCACACCAGCACATTTATCTGTCCCATGCTATGAGCAGAGGCACTGCAGGACCTGAGCGTCGGTGATGCTGAGTTCCTCACGGTGCAGCAGAAGCACTCTCTGTTGATGTTGCTCGCTGTGCTGTCAGGACTAAGCCTTATGGGGCAGTCTGCATCAGGAGTGAAGAAACACTGAGCAAAGACAGAGCAGACCAGCCAACACTCATCAGCTGCTTTGGGGTTCTGCTTCCAGTCCTGCGGATTAAAGAAACCAAGGTAAGGGTCAGGAGGCACAGGCCAAAGTGTGTGCTCCACTGGATAGGAAAAACCATTTTCTCCTAGTGCAGCTAGAAGTGCAGCTCTGTAGGAGCATAATCCACAAAAATCCTGCTTTGTTATTTGTATTGAAACATGAAAGAAAAGCATGAGATCTCATTTGTCTTGTAATTAAAGCCTCTCACAACACACACATAAGGAAGCTAGAATAGGGCAAGTGTATTTTTCTAAGGTAACCTTCACATTCAATCTTCATGTTCTTTTCATACATTATTTTCCTTAGTGTGTTCTTGGCATGGAGTAAACTTGCAGAGCCTGAATGTATGTGCTTGCATGCAAACAGCTGATTCCTAACACAGTAGGAATGCAGACAACTTCTGGGCCAGGTCTCAGCTCCCTTGGGTCAGAGACAGGGTTTAAAGCTGAGCACTTGGATTAGCACCTGTGCTGCCTTGACCTGCTTTCCGCCTCACCTCCCATATAGATAAATTCCTGAATTTCCCCATCCCTGCTGGGTGTAATTGCTCATGCAACCCAGCTTCTAGGGACTTTCCTCTCTTCCATGCAGCCCTGTGTATATTGACCCTTTGTTTCTAGGAATTGAAACAAATGAAAACAGAAGTGGGAGCTTGCTCACTCTTCACTAGAGGAGACACTGACAGTAGGCTGACCTTGCCAGGCTGTGGCTGATCTCTGAGTCCTCAGTGTAATGCACCAAGGACACACCTGCTGGGACTGGCAAAGATAATTCAAGCAAACTCTGTCTTTAGTAAGTGCATTTTAGAGAGCTGAGAAATGAATGCTTAATGTCCAGAGCAGCAGGCAAGTCCCAACTATATGATCGGCCATTTTTTTTACAACATAGGGGTGCTGTAGACTTACTACCCTTCAGAGCCAGCCACCCCTTCTTAGGCATTC